AAACAGACCTGTAGTTACATTGAAAGTTTATAGTTTAAAGTATATTTTGCTGTTTCTTTGGATTTTTCTTGGTATATGTAAGGAGATTTTCAGATTTGTAAAGGCACCTTGTTGTGCTCAGAAACTGCAGGAATGTTTGTTAAGTCTTAAATATAGGCATACAGCTGTCCTGAAGAGATATTTGAGACTATTATTAGTTTATTTTGCTTACAACTCATATAGTTTAGAAGACAGCAGTGATTTTAGCTACATTAATGAAATACGATACTGTAGGCTTCTTGCCTGAAAACTATTGGTTTGGATTCTGTCTCCTGGTGCTGGTTCAGTTGCTTTCTGGAGACCAACCCACTCTTCAAGGTACTATGGCAGGAGTTAAGATTGAAAGTCCTTCCCTCTCAAAAAGAAATGAGTAGAGATTTTTTCTCTTCTTTTGAAGAAGTGAAATGCACTTACTGCTATACTGCCTCGTGATGATTTGTTTGCTCAAAGAAAGCAGCAATATTTTGTAAACGTAACAGCTCATGTAAATATTTATTCTCCTTTATAGCAAGAGTTTGCTAAGCTTCCTTGAGTGGTTTTATTTCTGTTAGGAAACTCAGGGAATTATGAGTTTATTAGTTTGTTGCATCTACTGTTTGCTTTGTATGTTCATTTTCTGTTTTGTTGCCAGTACCACCAAAGATGTTATAATGATTCCAGCTGAACTCTTGCAGTGTTTTCCATTGCTGGCTATGATTTACACCTCTTACATCTTAAAATTATTTTTTGCTTTTAGAAATCATCCTTTCATTTTGTCCAATCATAATTTTGTTCTTTACAGACTTTGTTGCCTCCAAGCATGTTCTTTAAAACACTGTCTCATGTTCTCCATGCAGTTCTTCATAGCAATATTTCAACAAGAATTTTTCTCTTCATTCCCAGTCATTAGATTTCTAATGTTCAGTTGCTGGTTTTGCAAGTCTCTTTAAAACTGCTGCAGTACAAACTAACAAAGCACATTATTACTCATTCTCATCAATGTCATTATCTTTTACTACTCCTCTATATAGTTGGCCATCCTTAAAAAAAGGCTGTCAGGTGTCTGGATCTATCCCAGGATGTCTTGCTTACAGTCAGGATGCAAAGATGCCATTCATTTGAATTCTTAAATGCCTGTTAGGCTCAGGCTTGACATTTGTGATGAAACTGCAGCTTTCCCTGTGTCTGTGGCAATAAAGTTGCATCCATTAAGTTGCTCTGTGGTTACTAGCCTTCTCAGCTGTTTCTTGGCAGAAGGGGACACTTAGTTTGATTATATAACTAAATATTCACTTGAAAGATTATGACAGATCAAAAAAACTCCATGTCCAGGAGCCATGTTCCAGAATTATCTTTTCCCTACTTTTTTTTACACCCTACTTTGCTTTGCAACTGTGGTGTGAAAATAGCCAGACAGACAACACTTTTGAAGATGGGACTTCTACAAGTCCTTTAGGAAATCTGCAGTCTTTGCTGGAGGCTGTGCTTAGTGTTGCAAACATTGTAGTAGATTTGGAAACAATGGAGCAAAACCCCTGACTTTTGAAAGCAGTGGAATCACTGGCTATGATTTTCCACTGTAAGGAAGTCTGATATAGCCATGTTGCATGCTAGTATATTTTAAGGATGTTGATAGCTACACACCCTAGCTACGCACCATAGACTGGTGAACAAAGCACAAATTAAATCTGTGCTGTCTCAAAGTTGTGGAGTGAAACCAGATCCTCACCCTAGTTTGGCCTCCCAGGTGGTCCTTGCAAAATCAAAGTCATACACAGTAGGAATTTAAGGCAGAGAAGATAGGTTGCAGAAGTCAGAAGCAAGGGAATTTATTGAGGCAGATCTCAGGTAACATTCTATTCCTTTTTGTTGAGTTTGCATATGACCCACATTGCTCCTGAGAAGAGCAGTGTTTCTTCCTGATAATCTGTGGGATCTCAGGCCCTGTTTCTTCAACTGAAGCTCAGTCAGTTGTGACTTCCAACATTTCTGAGTGCTGATCCTCTTAGACAAGAAACGAAAAAGAAATGGTTTGGGAGATGCTGAAAGAGAGCAAAAGGAAATATGAGGAATGAAGAATGTATGCCAAGATAAAAAGGAAGAACAAGGACAATGACAGATGTCTTGCGGAAGGCATTAGTGCTGCAGTTCTCAAAGTGAGAATATTTTATTTCTTTCTGGGGTGGTATGCTGCTGGAACCATGATCTCCAGGTCATACACTTGAATAAAAAGAACTGTAAGTCTGCCATCTATAATAAACGAGCCACATGAAACAGAAAGTTTTTGTGTTTGATCATATTCTCCTGTCCAAAGCTGTATTTCTAAATTGAATGTGTTTGTAGGCATAGGGGAGGGAGGCCTCCAGTCATGTGTTTTTTCTTCTCCTGGGGAAGGTGACAGCAAATGATTCAGTCTGTAGATGCCAGACCCAGCACAGTGGTAGGAAGAAATATTAGTCTGTAGAAGAAGCATGTGCTGAATGCATGTGTACCTGATTTTTGTCTTATGCAGGAAAACTGTGACAAGCCAAGTACAATGTGTCATGAATCATACTGAATCTGTTGTCTGCCAGTTAGCATGTGATATAGAGTTGCACTGACTGATCTATAAAGCAATACCAATTAATTTACATCTGTAAAATTATCTCACTGCTCCTTCATAGTACATTTTTCCAACTTCTATGCTCAAAAACAAATCATTCCTCTTCCACTCAGTAATTAACACAGTGTTGTGGTTTAACCCCAGCCAGCCTCCATGTACCACACAGCCTCTCACTCACTCCACTCCCCTCCCCTCATCACAAACCCAAAACACAGCCCCATACAAGCCAGTGTGAGGACAGTTAATTCTGCCTTAGCCAATACAGGCACTGGAATTTTGGGAAAAGTCTCAGACCATATTTTGACCATGAAACTTTCTGTAATTATAGTCAAGATTTTGTATCCAGTAATCATCAGTGCAAACATTGCTTGTTATGTTGTTGAGCTGAGCTGCCTATTGCTTAATTGTGGGGCAAAACTGACTGTGGGCAACAATTTAATTAGGTTTTTGAATATGTCTGTTTTAGATTGTTTGGGAAAAAAACTAATCATCAAATTAGATATTTTTATATCAAAAAGGTTAATAAAAATTAAAATTGTCATTTACTGAAAGTTTTTTTTCCAAAAAAATGGTCAAGCATGTTTATATCAAAAAAGGACAAAAATGTAAACAGGTATATGAAGTGATTATGTTAAAACCTGAGAGGCTAGGCAGAAGACTTTAACATGCATACATGATTTGGTATGATCAAAATTTTTCTATGGACTAAGAGGAATCCATTTTATACACTGAGCTAATAATTTATGGTTTATCATAATTCATTTTGACTGTTCAATAGAATAAATAATATTATGTAATGTTTGTTATATCTTATGCATAAACTTCCTATTGACTTCCCCTGCTATTTGGTATACGCTCTCCTTGCGAATACTACTCCAGGTCTTAGAATTGAATACTCATTCTTTCTCAGGAAAATGAGGAGCTTTTAACAGTCATCTTGCTCGTCTCCTCTCCTCTCGTCTCCTCTCCTCTCGTCTCCTCTCGTCTCCTCTCCTCTCCTCTCCTCTCCTCTCCTCTCCTCTCCTCTCCTCTCCTCTCCTCTCCTCTCCTCTCCTCTCCTCTCCTCTCCTCTCTTCTTTTGGAGTCTATTTGAGGCTGCTTTTTTGTATTTTCGTATTTTCTTACAGTTGCTTATTTGCTGTTCCTCACCTTTTCCCAAGCAAAGTCTGGGAATGTCGTGTTGCCCTCCCTCAGCCCATTTACCCTGGAGGGTGCAATGACTGTGTAGGGGTGCCAGCCCTTGGCCTCAGTTGCCCCCAGGGTGGAGCTGGTGTAGGGGACACAGACGTGTGGCCACCATCAGGCCTTCCCTGCCATGGATAAAAGCAGTACTCGCCAAGCCAAGGCCAGACACATCCTGAGAGCCTGCACTGCCAACTCTGAGCCAAACCTCTGGCCTTGTGCTAGGGATGGCAAACCCTCGGTTTTCTGGGCTGCAGAACAGGCCTTCCCAAACATTCCCCTTGCCATTATTACCAACTCAAAAGGGAAATCTTTCAAGACTTTAGGGCTTATCTCTGTGTGTGTTTGCAGTATTGGATCTTTAATACTTCCTTTTGCTGGCACATAAAAGAGTACATAATGCTGCGGCTCCCTAAAATATTTATCAGTGTGAGAATGTGATCCTTTGTGTTCAGAACAAATGTACTTTGATATTTTTAAATTATTTTAAAACTTTGCAAGAGTGAGTCATAAATGTTATCATATACTCTGACACTGGTTTTCAATGCATTACTGTTTTTCCTGAGAAATCACATTAAGAATGGAAGTGAAGAGTGAATGCTAAAAGCTATGATTTTGCAGAGGTTAAAATCAGGATAAGTAAGAAGAAGGGGTTCAGCCTCATTCATTCATATTCACCTAGACTCAAGACCTCCACATAGTCATGTACATATGCTTTATTAAATGAATGTGATACATATCTAAACCCCATAATTTTAACACAAAGAATGCTAAAACAAACTGGGGAAATTATGGAATTTAATGCTTTTAAAACAATGCTTTCAATATATCAAAGTTCAGGACAGTCCTGAAGACTGAAGTCAGTAACCCTTGGCATGAATGTGCATTTATCAAGCCAGACTTTGAAATCTTGTTTTCTTGTGACTGCTGCTCTGAAGGCTGTTCTGCGCTAATAACTTTTTAACTTTTTTTCCTTTTTTTTCTTTTTTTAATGCATTGCATCACATGAAAACAGCCTTTAGTTTTCTAAGTTCTTTTAACTGTACTATAATGCATAAGGAAACTTCAGTCAAAATAATCCTGCATTCTTAAGCTTCATTGAAAACATCCAACACAAAGATTTTTTCACTGAATGACACCAAACAGGTAGAATTGCCAGTGTGATTTTTAGTAACTCATTTTCCTCTTGCCTTTTCAGACTATGGCACTATTAAGAAAGTACTTGCCCCAGTGAACCAGACTTCAAGCAGCTGTCTGCTTGAGGAAATTGAGCTCCTGCCGAAAAGTCAGCGAGAGCCCATCAGGAGCCTTCAGATCCTGCACAGCCAGAGTGTCCTTTTTGTGGGCCTTCAGGAACATGTGATTAAGGTCCCCCTGAAGAGATGTCTCTTTTACAAAACATACAGGTATGAAGAATCAGCTAGCTTGGTTTGACTGGAAAAAAATACATGCAGCGGGTTGGAGAAAAATGGGAAGGATAAATGTCTGCAAGTAGGAATCCAAATTAATTGTCTCTCTCAACAATTACTTCCTGTGTACCCTGTCTATCAAAAATGGCTCTGACTACTTGTACTAACTTGTTAGGACTAGATGAGGCTCTTGAGGAATTGAAGTGTCATTATGTAGATTTTAAATTGTGAAGTGAAATAGTAAGAAATGTTTTATATAGAAAACAGTTATCTGGTAAAGTGCCATATAGCTGCTGGTTTAATATTTTTAAAGCTTGGGACTTGAACAAATTTAGGGGGGTTTTTTGGTTTTTTTTAAAGCCATTTTATAACTGAATAAACAATGTCTCTTTGAACTCAGAAACAAATTGGGTTGCATGAACTGAGAATCAAGAGCACTTGGAAAAGGGACTATTTAAAGGTAGTGTTGATCAGCAAACTGTAATGTAAAAATCTGAATATTCTACTAGGTAAAAGGACTATGCAGCCAACAATTGTTCAACCAAAGAAAGAGGATAACTTACAAATAATCACTTGGTTGTAGACTGTATTATGATAGTTAAGGAACTTAAAATTCAGCACACAACTTTTCAATAGGCTATCTGAAAATACATCTGGGCTGCACAACATGCTATTGGAGATTGTTCATTTCATCCAGTTAGTTGTACCTTCTCTTTGGTAGTGTGTGTTCCTGGTAATTCAGTGAGATTGTTTTGTGTTACATCACATGGACATTCATGAACCAGTCATGAGGTTTTGAGAACCATGACAGAGACACGTGGTTGGTTTTTTACCTTGTTTTGGCTTCACCTTGTTTAACATATATTCCTCTGAAAAGTTGGGCTGTTAAAGGAGGGAGAAAGGCTGCCAGTTGCCTCTCTTGGCTGCTACACTCAGGCTCAGAGACATTATTTGTGCACAGAGATATTATACCTCCCCTAAAAGGCAGCGTGACCATTCACAGGTAGAGACATTTCTGGCTGTCACAGGGCCCACACAGTTGGTCGCAGCAGGGAGGTGACCCCGGGACACAGGTCTAATAAAGATGTGGCTTGGTGACAGTGGAAGGACATTTCCAAGGGACCTGCCTCACCATGGGAATTTGTACCATGCAGAAAGCCAGTGAAAGGCTACTGGGTTGAAAACAAGACTGAAGGTAGAGGTGTGCCCTAGAGAACCTGGTCCCTAGACCAGGGAAGGGAAGAATTCTACCTTTCAGTTTTTTACCAGCCTGTTTTTTGTTTATGCTGTCTTATGTAGCATATTTTTGGCATTTTCTATTGAAATAGAAGAACACTTTAGGCCCCATTGGAAGTCCTGCAAAGCTTACTTTAGGGAAAAGTTTTATGTGGGCAAGTCTCTGCTTCAAGAATTTTCTTGGCTTAGTGGCCTACATAGGATCAAGTTTCAGTTTCCATGGAAATTTCATCTTTCCTTGCTTCAGAGAGCTGAAAAAGGATGTGTGGTGGTGAGTATTTACACCCAGCCTGTAGTCCACTTTGGACATTTCAAGGCTGGTGCCTCATTTTGTTTGTAATGAGGAGTGAATGCCCAAGGTCCCTGCTACCTCTGTTTCTCTCAGGACAATTCCCAAGGCGTGTCAATTTTATTCCAGCTGCAAAGCCCAAACATGCTTCTGCCCTTGCAGGGTAGGACTGCTGTTTCAAATCCCAGACCCCATGCATGGCTGCAGGCTATTCATTTCTCTCCCTGTGTGAGCACTGGGATCTAATTGTCTGATCTTTAAAATTTCTCTTAGAACAAAAGAAAACAAAACAAAAAGAAGTGGTGCCTTTCCCATTTTACTGAGAACAGTAGTTAAATGCCTCAAATACTGCTCAAATGATAATTTATTCCTCTGCCCAGAGGTATATGAAGTCTCATCTTCCAGTGGAATGATTTATTTAAAAGGAGATAAAAATGATTCCTTGTGGGGTTTTTCAGTCATGTCTTTTGTAGTTGTATGACTTCTCTTGTAGTAATTAAATATTCATTGCACCAAAAGACTTGCCATCCTTGCTTTCTTCTTGGTTAAACAGTTCACCATCAATTCTAGGTCTGTTTTGTGAAAAAGGAGAGGATTTAGAGATGTGATCCAGACAAAAAAAAGGACTTTCCTTGTCATCTATCGTTAGGGACTCATTTGAAGAATGCAGATGTAATCTTTCTCTCACCTATAATTTACTTTTGGTTTGACTAGTTTTTTCCTGGCTTATGCTGGATTTCTTTTTGTTTTTTTCTTTTTGTATGTGGACAGAGTACAAGTACATTTCTATACATTTCTCTAGGCATTGAAACATCTAAAACTTGCCCATTGCGTTTCTGGGTGCTTTAATACTCACATTCCTCTATTATGTTGCTAACTATTACTTCTATACTGTAGCAATGAGTAATGGGTAAACGCAGCAGAGTAATGGATAAACCTTACTTAAGGTAATGCCTTGGAGCATAGTGGTTTGGGGTTTTTTTTTTTTTGTATTATTTTAAATAATGTATTCACGTTTATCATGCTTAGGGCTGTATAACTGTGCCAAAGCTTCATTCTGAAATTCCATCAATGATAACTAGTCTCTAACCCCAGATCAAGGATGTGCACTCTTCATTATCCGCTTCACATAATTATTGAGGAATAGGGCATGCTTGTGTATGAATAACAGCCTTTAAAAAGTCAGAATGTTGAAGAGTGCTACCTCACCTGCTCCTTTTGTGTAAATGGCAGAGTGCTCAGTGCCTAATCTTATCTAATCTCTTTGTTTAGATTTCTTGCTGAGCTTTCAGACAATACAACTTCAGTCCCTCTGTTGAGCAGACTCTTTCATGAGCTAATATCTCAATGCCGAGATAATTTTCTTGAGATTGTCCATTGTAATTGTTTTTCATTATTCCTTTCCTCATCTTCCCACAGTAGCCTCTAAAACATGTGTTGTTGCTTTTATTTGTAATTTATTATGTCTCCTTAATAATCACCCTAATGTGCTCTGCACATCATAAGTCTGTTCCTCCAGCACTTTTCAGTAGTGGAGAAACCCTGTGACCTGCTGCTGCTCTGACAGATATTCCATCTGCTTCAGCACACTCCAGTCATGATTCTACTCCTATAAATACTGCTAGCAAAGGCTCTTGAAAATATATTTGGAGGTGAATGTTTTGGGTTTTTTTTTTTTTGTTTTGGTTTTTTGGGTTTTTTTGGGTTTCCATTTGTTTTGTTGGGGTTTTTTTGTGTTTGAAATGCAGTTTGCTGCACTTTATTACTGTGACAGCAGACCTTACCATGGGCAAAACCTGTTGTCACACCCATAGTTTAGGTTGCTCAGCACTTTCCATTATGCCCTGATGATTATGCCCATCATTCATCAGTTTCCCATGCCAGTTATTTGGATTGCCGGTTTCCATGGGGGGCAGGTGGAGGGTATTTCATGCAGACTTCTGCCAATGCCTGAATAGTTTTGAACATCCTGTCATAATTGTGCTGGCTTTGAGAGTCAGCTAGAGAAAAGTCATTTGGGATGTGCCAGTACTTTGGAAAATCAGTTCTCAAAAAAACCTGCCATCTTCAAGGTGCAGGAAGCACCAGAGAAGTTACATAAATTCGGTTCTCCTTAGGGAAAATCCCTAAGGTTTGACCAGGTTATTATCACCTGGGTATTGCAATTCACACATTTATCAAACTTTTATAGAAATCCATCAATGATATTCACTGGAGCTATTTTCACAGATGGATTCTTCATCCCTCTCTACTTCTTCAAAGTTGAGTAGGCCAAGCATGAAGCACAACTGACTTTTAAATATCTGCTAATTAACTATGATGTGAGATAAACAAAATAATTATCACTATAAGATAACTTAAACTCTCTAAAATTTCACTTTCTGTGTTTCACTTTGAAGGTTCTATGCATCCATAATAAGGAATAAGATCTGTAGTATGGGGGTACAGACTCTGTACCCTGAATCAAAGAAACAGTCAGCTTTCTTTTGTTGGCAGCTGTAGCCTTCAAAAACAACCCCTGGTGGCAGTGATTTTTTTTAGACAAATTTGTCAAAGTTATGCTTTGTACTGGCATTTTCAGGGCATTAGTTCTGAAAGGAAAACAAAAGTCTATATCAGCCCAATGTTCTTTAAAATCTTACCAAGCAAGGGTCAAGGATTGGTATTTCTGATGGAAGATAGATTTCACACACTTGAAAGGCTTGAAACCTAATCTTGCTATGATGTTATGTCTAAGTAAATAGATAGTGCCATCTGCTAAAAGCTGTACAAATAGTGACTTCTCTGACATAAAAAACCTGCCAACTTCTGAAAATTTTTGAGTATTTTTTTTTGCAATATATACCTAAAATACTACTGGGTCACAAGCTTGTCTTGCTAAGTAATGTTATCATAGCTATTCTACTATAACTAACTTTTTGCTCTTTGAACTTCTTTATTCTTATTTTGGTGTCTTTGTGAGCCTTCAGTTAAGCAATCTGTACATACAAGAAAACTCTGTCAGCAAAATGCTAAAAAGAGTACTGAATTAACTAATAGAAGAAAACAATATACTCATTTCATTCCTAGAAGTCCAGTAAGATCATTGATTTAAGTATTTCAGCCACTTTCGCATTCCTTTATTTTGCCCTAGCTGTAGATTTTGCATCCTCTGAAGTACCCTCGCACTCAGTAGGAACCTGCTTTCCTGGTAACAAACATTCTATAACATTAAATAGTAAAATAATTATTCCTATATACTGATATAGGGTGGCTATACATTGACAAGCTACTAACAAGTATGTGGTCTAAACCATTGCTAGGTGGTCATGTGTCCAGGAGAGCTTGCCAACAAATGGGATTGAAATTGCTCTTTGGAAATAATCATTCCAAAGTATTTCTTTTTGGGTATTCAGGTGGATTTCCTGATTTCAAAATATGCAGGCTTTATTCCAGTTTAAATATGAGAAGTCTGCTGCTGCATTATAATGGC